CGGTCTTTGCAGCTTATGAGACCCAGTGCCTTTGCAAATCTAAGTAATAAGCCTTATTTCTTTTGCAGAGGTACAGTCAGCCATGGTTCACACATCTCGATTTTTGCTCTGGTTCATTTATTGTCTAATTCACAAGGCTGAAGAACTAAGCCCCAACAGTTTGACTGTCCTTAACTTTTGCTCTACAGTCTTCCCACAAAGGAAATATGGAGTTTTATTTCTTTCCTGCTAGACCTCTAGGTTACAGAGTTTAATCCAAATCTTTGGTTCATACATCACAAAATGCTTATTATTCTACACTTGATCCATTTTCTTCTGTTACTTGTACACTGCTCATACTGATGAGTCAGTGACTCACTAGATAATGATATGATAAATCCACATGAAGCAGAGAGCCTAGCAATACCCTTGAATATTTCTTGTCACCATCTGAATGCTCCTTTCCCACACAGCTAATAGCTGAGGGTCCACTTTGCAATAGATGTGCATGTTTTTGCTCATATAAATTAACATCCATGTTTCACGTTGGATCCATGACAGCCATTGGCCCTTGTACCCTTCTTCACTTAGCAAGGGCATGAAGAATAACTGAGGAACTTAATCTTACTCCATAACCAGGGAGAACACTGACAATATTATCCATCTCCCTATGTGCTTTTCCTCAAGGAATTAATATCTTAAATCTTTGTCAGTGGAGAGGTACTTAACTGAATCACAATGCAAACATAAAACAGAATATGAAGCAGCCATGAACATGAATGAAACATCCTGCATCTTTTTTATTGGATTTCACTAGTGCTGAATCAGATTTATCATAAATCTCAGATCTGAGCACATTCTCGTCAATGGCTGCTGCTGGTGTTAGTTGGTTTTATTTATGAATATATCCATTTACTACTTTGAAAAATGCAGGCAACACCCATAAACCAACCTCCCAACCCAAGAACATTAAGTGCTAGCCATTACTTACATAAATCTCTTCTTTCCTTACCCACAGAGGTCGAAGCCTAGACCTCTAGCTTAGAGCACGATTAAATCAGTGGTAGCACATTTAGCTGGTGAAGTAAAACACAACTTTCCAAAACAAAGAGCCTACAGTTTGATTTTTTTTAGTGGAAACAGGTTTTGTAGTATTTGACAAATCAAACTCGTGTCATCTCTCAACTTCATCACACCCAAGGTCAGGATTCCATAATTATTGGCTTCTTTACTTCATATCTTTAAATGGTGTGATGAACATCAACATGAGGACAAGAACCATATCTATCAGAAATATCTGCTACAGACCTCTGTCGACAAATTCAAAAACAGCTAGGTGATTGATTTTAATGGACCTCACTTGGGCAAAATTGGTTAATGTGAATCTTTGTTTCTTGGCATATTCTCATGAGTGATGTGTAAATTTTTCTAATTTACATGCCTACTGATTCATTCATTTATTCATGACTATAATTTGCATGGAATAAATTAATTATCCACTTTTCTAAAGAACTGTTGCACATACATCTCAATGAGCACTTTAACCAAAGAGGGAGAAAACTCAAGTTCTAATAATTTATCTGGGCAACATCTGGGTATAACAAGAGCAATCATTATCTTTGGTTTATAACACATGTTCTTTATTGGTCCCTCTGCATAACTAATTAGATGAGCTTTTTTTTAATCCTTTATAACAACATATCAATTGCAGCAATACTGAATGTAGGGGACAAGGACATTGAATAGCTAACTACCAACCATTATGTAGTAACCGAAATCCTATTTTGATTGCTTAAATAAAGCTCAGTGAACATGTTTAGCAACAGTCTTGGCCTTAATAGTAGTTCCTGTTTGGCTCTTTCTCAAAAAAAAAAAAAAAAGATCAACCGGTCAAGCACTCAGACCCGACACGTTCTCGCAGAGTTGTCTGCGTGAGCTTAACCCACATTCTGAGAGCCTGGATTCTGTTTGTTCCATAGAAACATCAGTCAGGCTGATCTTTTTCTAATGGACTTCAAGTTAAGGTTGGGTCAAAATTATGAATTCATACACCCTCTAGCTATTCATCACTGACCCAGCCTCAACACTTTCTCTTTATTTCCCTGCCTGTGCCTTCTTTATTACTTCATGGTTTCATAAATTTAAAACATTAAGACCCTTGCATGACAAAAATTCAAGAAGAACTCTCCTACTGCAAAATGCTATTTCCAGCCTGTTTCCCACTGTGCTGGGAGCTGTGGTCTCTCTGTAATCAGGTGCACAGGGTGCAGGTGGACCCACTAGTAACAGGGCTGTCCCCCGACATGGGTAGCAATCCTTCCATTTCCTCATCCTTCAAAGTACAGTGAGCTACCCCATATTCACCCCTCACCTTGAACCAGGACAACACTGGCATCTTCCTGGGCAGACACTTCCTCTGCAGTGATTGCAAACCTACATCTTCACTGATAAATTTTAACACACAACACAGAATCCACATAGGATTGTAAGGAGCCGTGAAAGTGGATGCAACATGCTCCAGCTTCATGTCTAATGGATGTCAAGTGGACTGAAATGCTTGACTCTCTCTGCCTGGCTCATTACACATGGCCGGGATTGCGCCATGCCTAGAAATTCCTTGATTTTTAAATTTTGCTTTCCGTTTTACATGAAAAATAACGGCATGCATTAATAGCGGTGTGCGCGTGTGGCGCCCTCCAGGGCAAGTGCCCCAGCATGGTGGACCCTAGCTACCTAGTGCGTGCAGGGCCTGCGGCGTCAGCCTGAGGGCTAGAAGACACTCACTGTCCCCACTCCCTCCATTCATGCTCGTGGAGGCCACTCAGTCCCCTCCAAGCCAGGACTGCAAACACACTGACTGACTTACATGAGTCCCTGGGCTGCTCCTCTACAGAAGTGACAACTGAGATCTTCGACCCTGGACCACAAAGAACTCACACTGGGTCCACTGCACCTATGGAGGACAAAGCAGTTTTTATGAAATTCAGAAAGCCATTGAGACTGAGATTTTTCAATGTAGTCTTTGTCCTCCTGTACTAAACACATCACCAACTGAGTCCTTTCACCGCATTCCCATTGCTGGCCAGCCGGTGGCCACAGTCTTATTGATGTCTTTTTGATTCATAATGTACGTAATATTACAAAGCTTTCTAAAGCTCTGCTTGGAGGATGTGGACTTCACCTGGTCCCGTCTGTGGAACACCATCTACACAGGTGAGAACCTAGACTTGCTCTTACAGATTTGCCATCAAAATTGGTTTAGTTTATTTTTCAACACAATCCCACCAATCCTGTACATTGGACCCCACTTTATAGATTTATTCAGTTATTCAGTTATGTACCATTTACTTATGGTCTTCATTTGTTTATATTTTCATTTTTTCTAAACAAATGCAGAATGGCCTAAAATATTATTTCCAAGAACTGTCTCTCTGCCATTAATTGAAACTGAGTGGCATGCGGAGCCACTTTTATTTATATGGACATCAATCGAGTAGAACGAACAATGGTTCTTACGATAATCCACTTTGAATGGATTTTGTTATTTTGCTTTAATTCCTCACCACCACCACCACCACCCCAAGGCTGGAGACACAACCAGAGCTCCATCCTGCTGGCAAATGTTCTCCCACAAAGCGACACGCCCAGCCCAACAATTAACTTTTCAAATGCCACATTACCCTCATTGGTCCATGGCTGCCCTCTTTTAAATAATTACTAACATAATTTATGTACAAAAACACCAGCAAGGACTGGTGATGCAACTCAGTAGTTACCTGCTCACATGCATGTGTTAGGCACTAGGTTCAATCTCCAGCACTGGGTAAAACAAAAATGAAGCCCAGTACAGTAGCACACATCACTCTGGAAGGCTGAGGCAGAAGCATCACAAGCTGGAGGCCAGCCAGGTCAATTTAACAAATATTCAGACCCTCACTCAAAATAAAAAAAGTTTTCAAAAGGTTGGGAATGTAGCTCAGTGCAAAGACCCTGGGTTGTATCCAGGTACAAAGTCCATTAATCAATTGATTTAAATGCCATCAGCAACTGAGGACCTATGTGACTTGAACAAGAGGCCTAGAAAACACTAACACTTTCCTGGGAGCTCACTACCCACAATAAACCAAATGTGTACATTTCTTAGTGAATCTCATTAACCAGCATTTATTTAATCGCAACCTCTATCATAAACACGTTCTCACCCTCAGCCTGTGTTTGATCTACCATTGGTCACGTAGTTCTGAATCATTTACTATTAGCTTTTCTTTCTGAAAGTCTTTGGATCTTTTTCAACCTTGTACAGCTAAGAATTAAACTCAGAGCTGTGTATGACATCTGCCCCAATAAAATTATCATTAAAATTAACAATCATGGGCGGGAGATGTAGCTCTGTGCCTTAAGCGCCTGGCTGACCAACACAATGTCTTGAGTTTGATTCCCAGTACAAAACAAAATAAAACAAATCAACATTCACCAATTCAGAAACCTCACCGAACTCATGCACCCAACTTGAGTGTTCCTTAATCAACCTAATGAGAACCTTGCACTGGGTACCTGTTAGAATCCAGCTCCTCGGAAATACATTAAGTAATCTCTCATTACATCCTACCGCAACTCATGGACATCTAGTCCTGTGCTCTTCACTCACTCGCCTTTCTTTCTTGACCTGTGCACTGATTCAATGGCGGCATGCAGACCTGCGGCCCACAAGCGCCCGGGAGCCTCAACACTCCACTGCACCCACTTCTCAATTACGTTAGACATCAGAGTCACAGGGTTTAGTCAAAATCCTTGCTGTAGATACCCTACGGTAATTATCGAGAACTTTCACTTCTGACATTATTTCTTTATTCAATTACACATTTGTTAATTGACACATTCATTGATTGATTCATAATTACTCATCAATATATATATATATATATAAAACCCAACAATGCAATACTAAGATTAAGGAACCTCACTACATTCTTTTTCAGCATCTCGTCCAGAGCTGATGCCCCAGCCGCCCTTTCCCAGGGGCGCCCTGCCCCTCCCCACTCACACTCCAGGGTGGTACCCCTTGTAACCATCTCCAAATTTTAAAGCCTTAATGGAGAACATGCAGAAAGCTCTATTTTTCCTGCATTGACGTACATACTTTTACTCTTTCCTGCTGTTTTCTTTCTCAGAACATCAGAAACTTCTATATTTATCAGTGACAGAACGTGTAGGCCAGCAGTGGTTTGAAAAGAATAAAATACCGAACTTCAGTTCCTGTCTCCCACCTGCTCTTTATAGCTCCTACTTGTTCCAAATGGAAGGGACATGAATCGTTTCACTGCTCATCTTTTTCCTAATGGCTCATTCCTCAGAATTATTTTACCTTTCATTGATAAATAATTCTAGGCACTGTTTGAATCTATAGGTGCTTGTTTACTAGTTAATTACAAATTAATTTAATCCTATACGAATCTTCCAAGTATAATGAATGGAAATTCATCAGCTGCACAAACTTAAACATGAATTTATCTGTGATCTTTAAATAGATTCCTGGGTGTCAGCTCTTCTGTGTGGAAATCTGAGCATTATGAATGGTTATTCACAATATCTTCTTCACCATTTCTGTGTGTCTAAGTCCACCGTCTTCTCTCTTGTAACAAATTATGATACAAACATAAGAAACCACTCAAATTCTACCCCTGTTCTCGGAGAAAAAGAATTCCACTTTTGTTGGATTACTCAAACTTATTCCCACCAGTGAAAATAGCTCAGGCCAGTGAGATAGCTCAGCGGTCCAAAGCGCCTCCTTATGCAGGCGTGGGCAGGGACAGGGGATTGAGGTTCAATCCCCAGCACCACATCCACACCAACCTGGCCCTCTGGGCAGGCTGAGTGGGGCAAAAAAAAATATTGCCACTTAATAATTCTCACAGAGGTCTTACATTGTTATTTATGGGAACATCTCACCTTTTTAAATAAATAAGCACAACCGTTCACCACAGTGTGTGTGCGCATGGCGCATGCATCTGCCTTTCCAAGGGCTTCAGGCTTCCGGGTGTATTAATAAAGGTTCTTGTTTTGCTGCATGGACTGGTCAAAGTGTTCTTCTCTTCCTTCATTCCTTTATAGATACTTAATGAATTTGTTTCTAGTACATTTATTCAATTTGCTTAATGATTTATTCATTGATTCACTTACAGAGTAGTCATGAGTCATGAAAAGTCCAAGATCAGGACCCAGAGGTGCCCCTGAGCCCTCGCTGCGCAGCGCTTGCCACTGGGGAGGGACCGACCCCCCAGCGGGGCACAGGTGGCTGCGCGGAGTGACGCACCGCTCCGCCCCCTGCGTGACCTCACTTGCCCTGTATGACCCATCAGCATTTCATCACTTAATTAGCCGTTTGCTCAGGTAGTTCATTGTCTCTGAAATCACTGAAGATAAGACAAGCACATGCTACCATGCGGACCTCAAACCCAACATAACAGCATGATGATTACACACACCTGTTCCGGAACTGCTCAAAAAGTAATTCGCCATGCCGCCTCATGGGGGGGGGGGGTGTATAAAGAATGTTTAAAACAATCAGTACATACTGTAAAAGTATTCTCTTTTTTCTCATGAAATTCCATTACATTGAAGGAAGGAGCACAGATACTGCTGTGTCAAGGCCGCTAAAGTTTAGAGAATTATATATGTAGAAATTACGGATGATGATAGAAGAGCTTAGTCCCTGCTTGCCTTCTTTGATGTTATCTGTACCCACTTATGTTTAGTGAACTCATCAACAGACATGAGCTGCCCACAACACAAAAGGACTTAGTGGAGTATATAGGACACATGGGTGTACAGAACACACGCGGAGATCCTCAGAGAAACGCCGCACAGATGCGCAGATGGCCTGCTGTTCCCTCTGCTTATTTCTGCACAAGGGCTCGCCTAGAGCATGTTGCTTAACTTGGTTCTGGTCACAACCCATTGGGTTGCTTGCCCGCGGGTCAGGAGAGTCTCACCTCTTTGGCTTCACGTCAGAACCGTTCACGGTTAGTATCGCAGTGAGCGCTCATGCGCCTGACACCCAAGCTCAGAGATGACTCACCGCAGCCAGGTTCAGGGCGCCTCGGCAGCTCGGCATCCTCTCGCTGTGCGGCTTCCTTTCTGTGGAATACAAGGCAGATATTAAAAAGGATCCAAAAAAAAAAAAAAAGAAAAGAAAAGAAAAGGAAAGGAAACACCCCACATGACCACAGGTGAGCAGCACCTTTACAACACTTGGGCAAGCACAATTCTCAGGATTCTGTCATTCATTTATTCATTTTTATTGTTACAGTGTATTCATTCACCATCCAAATCCAAAACAGAAACAATTTCTATTAACAGCATCTGTCTGTAGGTTTCAAATCAACAGATGAACAATAAAGATACATTCTTTCTGACAGACTCGGAAACGCAGAATGAAATAATAATCCCAGATTTCAGATGTCACCATTATTTCCTATGCTCCCTTTTTATCTTTCAAATACAATAACCCCAGATGACCCATTAACAATCCTGAGCGAAAATACTTTTAGTCCATCCCGTTGGTTCTCATCTGTGGAGGGAATGCCTTATTCTGTCATTCATAGTCAACAGTTGTACACAATTGGTTGCATCTTAACTCTTATATTACAAAACATCATTTACAGCCATGTGTGACATTTTTTACTATTTTGTTATTCAGTCATTTAATTCATTTTAACTATAGAGCAATTACATTGAAGCCACCACCCAGAACAAGAGCAATGATATTCCGTGTCCCCACATTCCACCCCCAGTGTCACAAGACTGGAGGTAACTTGGGATTTAATAACTCTACACGAAGGACAGCAAAAAGGTACTTAGCAGGGGCCAGTGGCGGAGGAATTCAGGTAGGTCAGTGGGTGCAAACTTCTATGGGGAGCCTAAACCACATCAGGGCTACAGTCACGAAT